TGGTCTAGGGTAAGAATGAAGTTAAAATTATATCATTCCCATTATTTGCAAGTATTAGGAAATTGTGATTATTATTTAATTTAATTATTTGGAGAAGGTTCCATCCATGTCGGGTTGCATCACAAGCTATAACAATGACTATTAAGCAACAATATTCTAAGACATGGCTGACATGGGGTTCAATGACCGATGTTGAAAAAGAGACATTCTTTCAACGATTTAAAGTAAGTTTTCTTATATTTAGGCTGATGAATTATTTTTATTACTTACATTCATTGACACAATTATTATTATTTGTTTTTTTGTGTAAATCATTTGCAAAGAGAAAGGTCACCTGGAGACTTGAAGATGAGGATAGGATTCGAAAAAATTTTCACTCAAAGGCCTCACATAGGCTATCTGAAATGTTCAAAGATGCTAGAAGGACAGGTCAAAAGCCCTATTGGATGTTTGATGATGTGTGGAAAACTCTGTTGAACAAGTGGAACTCAATTGATTATCGTGCAAAGTGTGCACAAGCTCGAAGAATCGATCTTCTCGAGACTGGTGGTAGTTTACACACAGTGTGGTTCTATTAGTATGCATGAACACGCCATTCGTATGGTAAATATGAAATTATAACAAAAGTTTCTTTCTTTCATTTCTTCATGATATGTTATTAATTAATTTTTTTTCCAGGAAAAGGAGTTGGGTCGTCCCGCACATATTGATGAGGTGTTCAAACGGACTCATCTACGAAAGGTTAATGGTGAATTTGTTGATGAAAGGTCTAGAAAAACTCATGTGAGTTGTGAACTTATTTAATATTACTCTATTACTCTCTTATATGTTATGATGGATATGTGTTGTATATCGTACATAATTTTTATTTGTATGTGAATAGGAAGAATTTCGTAGAAGATACTCGAGGCTAGATCCGAGGCAAGCATCCCGTGCCGCTGAAACCGAAGTCATCTCCATTAGATCCTATAGAGGACGAGAGAATAAGGACTCGAAAGTTGGATTCTTGCTGCATCTAGCAACAAAAAGGGTCTGATCTACGGTGTTGGAGAACTTGCCCATAAGTTTAGGCCTGGAGATACCCTCTCATATTCAGCATTTACCGATTCTCGTGAGATTACACAATTAAAGAAACAAGTGCTTAGTTATAGGGAGGATAATGAAAGATTGAACCACCAATTACAAACACTTGTCGATGTTGTCCTTCCTTTACTTCCACCCGATGCCCGACAAGCATTTCAACAACAACATTCCCAACAAGGATCACAACAACAATCACAACAAGAGCTGCAAGAGCAGCGAAGAGCAAGCAACAACAATCACAAAATCAACCAGCTTTCGTAGAGCAGCCTCAAGATGAACAAGGACATTACTATAATTATTAGGACACTCAAACAATATTGTCATAATATTTATTATAGTACTTCTTTGGATTTGTATGATTTTAGATATTTCAAGGACTACTTGATGCATGCTAATATTAGGATTTGTGTTTGATATCCGAATATGCATTTGGTGCATATAAATATTATGGAATATTGTTAAATTTGATATCTAAATATTTTATGTGTAATATGCATGTAACAGGTAAAATTTAGTTAAATTGGTGGTGATAAAATTGTATAAATTTACGTAGTGATTTTCCTACGGATTTACCTACGGATTTTGAATGAGGTAATTACCTACGGATTTGAATCCGTAGGTAATTACCTACGGATTCTGTTCGTGGGTAATTACATACGGAACAGAATCCGTAGGTAATTACCTACAGATTCTGTTCGTGGGTAATTACCTACGGATTGCAATCCGTAGGTAATTACCCACGGACGACATTACCTACGGATAGTAATTCCATAGGTAATTACCTACGACCATATTACCTACGGATTTTCTACGGAAAAAAATCCGTAGGTAAAATGACATTACCTACAGATTTTTGCCATTACCTACGAATTTTTGCCGTAGGTAATAGGCTTTTTTTTGTAGTGAATGCTCTATTATAATTTTAATGAGGATGACAATGAGATTGATTCATATTCTTGAATTTTTTTTCCTACATAGAACAAAAAAACAATTAACAAGGGTTATAATAAAACATGAAAAGTGGTTTACATCTATACACTCTATTAGAATTTAACTTACACCAATTTGTCTTTGTATTGCTTCATCACTCACAAACGCTCCATTAGCATGAGTAGTTATTCACACTTCTCATCTACTAACCATGTGTCCACACTCTTTTACCTACAAAAATTATATTAGGTATATTTCATAAATGAAAGCATAAATTTAATATAAATTTATTTAGTGTTTTCATCATTTTAGCTCTCCTCCTTGCAATGCTTTTAGATCCACCTATGTGAGAAACAATTTTCTTGACCATATTCTCTTTGTTCTTTAGGGCATTATCCTAATCATTGAAATAGAAAATTAATTCATGTAAATGATATTAAAGAAAAAATTCAGTTATACCTTTGTTTTTTAATTGAGACAGTAGTCAACAAAAGAAGCCTAATCACTACAAGAAAATTATTAATTATCGACAGATAATTACCGACGGATATGTAGTCATCGAAAAATGAGTGATTATCGACTTGATATTACCGATGAAAATTATTGAGTGATTATCGACAAAAATTACCAACTGGATATATCCATTGATAAATTAACAATTAGTTACCGACGGATATATCCATTGGTAAATTAACAATTAGTTACCGACTGATATATCCATCGGTAAATATTTAAAATATATAAATATATCAAAATATATAAATATATTTGTATTTATATATTTACACTGGATATACATTTACTTGTATATAAATATAATTTATTTGTAAGTTATTATCCAAAATTTGTAGTAACTTACTCGGTTTGAGTATCAGTCTCCAATTCTAAGGTACTGGGCTCGAATCCTATCAGTGACAATGATCTTAATTTGATAATAATGGGGTCTCTAGATAAATAATTATTCAAAATGTAATAAAATATAATATTTATCGACAACACAATTTCTGACGGATTTTTGTCTGTCGATAATATCTATTTAGTGGCGGATTTTCTTAGTTACCAACGGATTTTGTCTGTCAAAAAATCTAATTTTTCTTGTAGTGAATGATCTCTATGTAGTCCCTTTGGAGCCATTGTTATCAACCTATTTCTAGTACATGTTCCATCATCCCTTTGTTGAAATTATCGTAATGGTATTTTGGACTTCCAATGAAGTTTTATTTGATAGAAGGTTGGTTTTTCTTTTTTATTGTATTACCTCCCAAACATCTCACTTGATATAACAAATTAAATATAGCCTTGAAAGAGAACATTTGAATCCAAAACCATTTGGTGGAAATAAGTCAAGAAGACTTTTTTGCTTTAATTTTGTCCTTCATATTGAAACTTTTAAGGATTCGCTAACCAAGAATTATATTTTCCCTTTTTAAATTTTGATCTTTCATCTTGTTCATGAATATTATATAAAGAACAAAGACATCACATCTTGTTTTTAGCATAGGAGTGGGGGTTATATAGATGCTAAAAAAATGATGTGTTGGTGAAATTTTGTGGTTAACAAGTTGCAAAATTCGTAGTTGCGTGGAGGGTATATCCCATTTACAAACACGTCTTCTCTATAGGGAATAAAGACGTAAAGATTCAAACAAGAACCCTACCATAATTTCAAAAGGAAACATACATTTAAAAGGAGACACACATATAAACGTTTATGATTATTCACAACAATCAAATACAATAAATTAATAGAAATAACAAAGATAAAAGAGAACTAAACATACCACAATTGAAACAACACCAAACCTAAATGAAGGTAATGCAAGCTTTCTTTAAAAGTACCTTGAACAAAGTAAAACTTGAACAAATAAGATAAGTTAGTGAGAATTTAGCGAGCAAGCATCTGGAGAAGAAAAGAGAGATAAAAAGATTGTTTTAAACCTTTTCAATTTGGAGATTTAAGGTTTTGTTTGAATCGTCAGAGATAATAACAACCTTTGCATCTTGAGAGTGTTCGTAAGAACCACTAAACAAGGGATTTCTTAAATATCCATTACGGATTTGTTGTTTGTCAGGTGAGATCAAATTTCTATATTAAGATCAAAATCGAGGATCAAATTTCTATATTAAGATCAAAATCGAGGGAACAATGTAGGGATGGTAAAACAGGTCAGGTCCGCCAACCCATCATAATATGGCGGGGCGGGTTAGTACTTTCAGCCCGTCAGCCTGTTTTGGCCCACCCCACCAAGCCCGCCAGGCCAACCCGCGACCCGCTTTAATAATATTTTTTAATTTAATAGTAAATGTGTAGAAATGTGTAGAAATAGAATAATGTAGAAACAATGAAATTAGTAGAAAATTATAGAATCTTGTAAGTAAAGCCTATAAATAGGCATGAAGGGAGTCTTTGTATGTGTGGAAAATCTAATACAAGCTCCTACATATCTTGTAACACTTCTAACATCAATTACTATCTTCCCTCATACAAACCTTCTCTTATTTGTCCACCTCTTTCTAAAAACTATTTTTTACACAAATCTCACTACTAAACATCAAACTATCTTTCCTATCCTTCTTAAAATACTAACACTAATCATAACCGGATTCTTCTCTTGCCATTTTAAAATTTTGATAACAACATTAAGCCCCTCGTTTATAATTGGAGAGGTTCACCGACAAAATATTCCAATAAAACAACCAAAATTTAAACAATGCCGATTTGTTTAGTTTGCAGAGCTTGTAAAAAACATGAATAATTAGCAGGCAGATAGTAAATGCTAATACGATTGGTAAGTTGAAACCTTCAAATTTCTAATTTAATATATTGAATTCCATGGATTTACAATATATAGGAGTTGAACACATTAACTCACTGTTTCATTAACCGAGAGCACAATCCTTAAGCCTATATATAGCTACCAAAGAACAATGTACCCTATATTGAAAAGGTTCTCTGTACATATCGAAAAGAAGTTTTAATCCAAGGAATAGACATTGTTCACCAAGGAACACACAATTGACATCAATTCCCAGGATCTAGTAAGCTTTAAATTCATTTGAGCTCCTCAAGTGTGACGCTCTGAATCAGGTGATAGTTTAAACTTGAGAACCTTGTGAAGCTGACACAAGGGTTTCACTTGTTTAGTTGGAGGTTGACTTGAATCAATTAGTCTTGTTCCGGAGAAAAGGTTCACTTCAGATGATCCTGTCTCTTCGTGAACCACAGGGTATCTGCGTAAAAGGATGCTTTATCAAACAACTTATTTTAAGCATCTCAAAGTGGGAAGCAAATGAAATTAAAAATAGTTCCACAGTAGCATGTCTTCCATATAACATGAGTATCATAACAATTTGAAAGGCATGATTACTGAGTGATTAAAGGATAGCTATTTCTCTGCAAAACATGTCTAATTCAACAATTGATTGGAAATAGAGGATCTTCATCATTGGCTAAATCTTCTACATGTTTATTTAGAGTTTGCTCGAGACTATAACTACAGAATGGGGGGAGAAGCAACAATGCCGACTTCCAAATATGATCTACAGTTACATGAACTATTACAGAATATAAAATAGTACATAGGAAAACATGATGCCAGATGTAGAGTCAATTAATGAATGCTACTAAACATGCCAACAGAAGTAGCAGTGAGAGATGTGGGAATATAAATAACATTGCAATAAAAAGCCCACGATTTTCGATCTCAACTAATTCAGGAATAAAGACATTGTAAATATTTTACTTATAGAGGGAATGCGGAAGAATCATATTTGGAAAGCAGTTATCTCTCATAATGACAAAGCATAAAAACATTGACTCTTTAACAACCAGAGTCAGGTCAGAGTATCCTGACAATTGAACATAATTCTAGTTTCCAAGACTAACAGCCTTTTAACAGACATATTCTGCACAACTGTAACTCACCTTGTTCGGTAAAAGCAAGACATGTGCCAATTGTCTCCTCATATTCCCCAATCTGTAGACAAAAAAATAATGACAAATAACAATCCTTAAATGATCATTATCCATTCAGCGAATTTATCAAACAAAAATTGATAGAAGCAACTTTATCCTGATGGAAACTTTCTAGCTGAAATACATCACTCAAATTATTTGCCTAATCCTATCGATATGCATTGAAGATATGTACATCTAAACAAATGGACAACCTTCACGAATCTGTATAACTTCAACAGATTCGCACGAGACTACAAGAACACCAAAATAGCAGCATTCACTTAATCCCAAAAATTCTCAGAAATCAAAATCCTTGAAGGCAGTAGGCACAAGGAATTTTAAATCAAGCAACTTACCAGCTTAAATTTGTCATCAATGATCAATCCTGGGTTTAATGTATCAAGGCCCTATCATTAACAAGAAATAATGTAAGTGTGGGAAATCAAACAGTATTTTAGGAAAGAATAAATTAGGAAATTTGTAATATGTACAGAGTTGAACAATTAGGAACAATTCCATAAATCAAGGGATCCTAGAATAAAATAGAGTAAATATATTTCCTAAAATAGCTTAGGTCTCCTGTATATATCTTGTATGATCTCTTTGTATTAAGATAATAAAATAAGATTTTATTTAATCTAATTTTCCAGATGGTATCAGAGCTTCTAATCTAGGAAGTTCTGTCTGCGCATTATAAACTCTAAGACGGCCGCCTGTATTGTTGCTGCATTTTTCTTAACCCTAAGACGGCAGTCTACATTGTTGTTGCATTTTTCTTAACCCTAAGACGGCAACCTACATTGCTGTTGCATCACACCATTTTGCTATAATGTCAAGGGAAGAGGAAGTTGCGAACCCAACCCCAGAAACGAGGAATATCCAATCCCATCAATCTGGAGAACTGCAGAATATCCATTTTGCATATAAACTAAATGGAAGAAATTATTTGAAGTGGACCCAACTTGTTCGTATAGTGTTGAATAGAAAGGGGGTAGCCGAACAGAAGAAAGGAGGATCAACAAATGTGGAGAAGAAAGGTGATGGTCTTGGTGTACCTACTGCAATAAGTCTCGTCATACCCGAGAGAAGTGTTGGAAGTTACATGGGAAGCCTTTAAATTGATCTCGAGAAGAGGGACACAGAGGAGGCTCCTTAAGGAAAGGAGGACAAGTTTATGTTGCTGCTGAAACAAATGAAGGAAATAATCCAGAAGTTGTTGCCCATCTTAACCAAGAGGAGATAGAAAGGGTGAGAACCTTTATTAGTAAGCTAGAAAAACCTACAGGTATGTGCTCTTTGGCATATTCAAGTAAGTTTCCACTTTCTTTTGGATTAAATACCTTTGATACACCTTTTAACCGTTATTGGATATTGGACTCTAGAGCCATAGACCACATGACACCATTAGTCAAACACTTCTCCACATATTCCCCATGTCCCAACAACAAGAAAATTGCCATAGCAAATGAAACCCCCTTATAACTGTAGCTGGTCAAGGAAATATCCAAATCAATCCTTTAATAACCTTAAAAGATGTTCACCATGTCCCAAAGCTGTCCACCAACCTAGTGTCTGTACAAAAACTTATAAAGGATTTGTCATGTAAAGTTGTTTTTTTCAACGATCATTGTGTATTTCAGGACAAGGATTCGGGGAGGATGATTGGACATGCTAGAGAATGGAATGACCTTTATTATCTCGAAGATCCAAGTCTGCCCAGCAAGAACAGAATCTCTCACTCCTTCATATCTGAATCCTTGATGACCAACAAAGAAAAAATCATGTTTTATCATTGTCAGTTGGGACATCCCTCTTTTGGAGTGATCAAAATTATGTTTCCCTCTCTGTTTACCAAGTTAGATGTTGAGAGTCTTCATTATGAGGTGTGTGAACTTGCTAAGCACAAGCGTGTATCTTTTCCAATATGTAATAGAATTAGCAATTTCCCTTTTTATCTTGTTCATACTAATGTATGGGGACTTACTAATGTTCCAAATGTATCTGATGCTCGATGGTTTGTCACCTTTATAGATGACTGTACAAGGGTCACTTGGGTTTTCCTACTTAAACAAATATCAGAAGTCAGTTCTGTCTTCCTAAACTTCCACTCCATGATAAAAAATCAGTTTGGTGGTAATATTAAGAAGCTTAGGTCAGATAATGCCAAAGATTACTTCAATTATGTCCTTAACTATTTTTGTCAAAAAGAAGGTATAATTCATGAGTCCTCTTGTGTCAAAACACCACAGCAGAATGGGGTCGCAGAGAGAAAAAATGGACATCTATTAAATCAGACTCGGGCATTGTTGTTCCAAAAAAGTGTCCCAAAAAATTTCTAAGGGGAAGTTGTCCTTACAACAACATACCTTATCAATAGACTACCCTCTAGAGTCTTAGGATCAAAAAGCCCTATGGAAGCTTTGTCATCTTTCTATCCAAACCTGTCTACTACAAATAATCTTAAACCAAGAGTTTTTGGGTGCATCTCATATGTCCATATTCATAGTACAGACAGGGAGAAACTTGATCCTAGAGCCTTAAAGTGTGTCTTTGTTGGTTACTCACCCACTCATAAAGGGTATAAATGCTACCACCCCCGTCCAAAAAATTTTGTGTCTAGAGATGTTACCTTCAATGAACAAGAGGGCTATTTCCATCAACCTTATCTTCAGGGGGAGAGTTTCAGGGAAGATAAGAAAAGTAACAATTATGGTTTTTCCATTCTTCCAGACTTGATATTTGAATCTAAACGAGATCAAATTGAAGCTGCAACAAATGAAACAAGTCAAGGAATTGGTTAAAAAAAGAAAGTTGGTCAAGAAAGTGAAATTAATTGTGAAGTTGATCAAGAAGATGTTGAAGCTGGAAAATTTGGTAAGAAGCTGGTGTACTCAAGGAAGACTAAGGCCATTCCAGGATCAAGCCATGTTCAAGAATCCAACTCGACTCCACAAAAAGATGTAACAATTTTTTCTCCAGCTGTGCAGGTTGAAATTGAAACCCAAAATGATCCTAACCTCCCAATTGCCATTAAAAAAGGGACAAGAAAATACACCAAACAACCACTCTACCCTCTCTCAAATTACCTGTCCTTTAAAAATTTCTCTCCTACCCATAAAACCTTCCTAGTAAACCTAAACACTGTACTTCTACCTAATACCCTATCTGAGGCATTGTCTGACAGAAAATGGAGGCAAGCCATGGATGTAGAGATGGAGGCATTGGAGAAGAACAACACCTGGGAGTTAGTCACCTTACCAATAGGAAAGAGGCCAGTCGGATGTAAATGGGTCTATACAGTGAAATACAAGGCTGATAGATCAATTGAGATATAAGGCAAGACTAGTTGCCAAAGGGTTCACCCAAACCTATGGAGTTGATTATTTGGAGACCTTTGCTCCGATTGCCAAAATGAACGCAGTTAGGGTGATATTGTCCCTTGCTACCAATTATGGTTGGAACTTGGAACAATTTGATGTTAAGAATGCTTTCCTACATGGAGACCTTGAAGAAGAAATTTATATGGAGATACCTCCGGGATATGGTAGAGATGTTGTTGCCAACACTATTTGCAAGTTGAAAAAGGCATTATATGGGCTAAAATAGTCCCCCCCGTGCATGGTTTGGTAGGTTTACTAAAATTATGACAAGTCTGGGTTACAAACAAAGCCAAGGGGATCATACTTTATTCTTTAAACATTCCAAGTCAGGGGGAGTAACAATATTATTGGTGTATGTGAATGACATAATATTAATTGGAGATAATAAATAAGAGCAACAATTGTTGAGTCAATGCTTAGGCAAAGAATTTGAGATCAAGACCTTGGGAAAACTAAAATATTTTTTAGGAATTGAAATTGTCCACTCCAAGAAAGGGATATTTATATCCCAGCAGAAATACATCACTGATTTGCTCAAAAAAACTGGCAAGGCAGCTTGCAAACCTGCTAGTACCCCATTAAAACCAAACCTAAAGCTTGGAAATGTAGAAGATGTTGCTGTTGAAAAAGATATGTACCAGCGTTTAGTGGGCAGACTTATATATTTGTCGCATTTCAGGCCAGATATTATCTATGCAGTAAGTTTAATTAGCCAATTTATGCATAACCCAAAGGAGACCCATTTACAAGCAGCCCATAGAATTTTACAGTATCTTAAAGGAACTCCAGGAAGAGGGATTCTATTTAAAAGGAATGGTATTGTAAAGCTTGAAGCCTATACTGATGCTAATTATGCAGGGTCAATTGTGGATAGGAGGTCAACTACAGGATATTGCACCTTTCTTGGAGGAAATCTTGTGACTTGGAGAAGCAAAAATCAAGGTGTAGTGGCTCGATCCAGTGCTGAAGCAGAATTCCGAGCCATGGCACAAGGTATATGTGAGTTGCTATGGCTTAAAATCATCTTAGAAGACTTGAGGATAAAATGGGAAGAACCTATGAAGCTCTATTGTGATAATAAGTCAGCAATCAACATAGCCTACAACCCAGTGCAACATGATAGAACAAAGCATATTGAAGTAGACAGACACTTCATCAAAGAAAAGCTTGATAATGGCTTGATAGGCACTCCATATGTGTCCTCTCAAGACCAAATTGCAAACATTCTTACCAAAGGACTGAACTGTCACAATTTTGAGAAGATTGTATCCAAGCTGGAAATGGAAAACACCTATTCAGCAGCTTGAGGGGGAATGTGGGAAATCAAATAGTATTTTAGGAAAGAATAAATTATGAAATTTGTAATTTGTACAGATTTGAACAATTAGGAACAATCCCATAAATCAAGGGATCCTACAATAAAATAGAGTTATTATATTTCTTAAAATAGCTTAGATCTCCTCTATATATCTTGTATGATCTCTTTGTATTAAAATAATAAAATAAGATTTCATTTAATCTAATTTTCCAGAGTAAGCATACTTTAGTTAGGTACGATATAACATAGCAATAAAGATGATTTGTGGATTAACAATCACCAAAAAAATGCTGGTGACATAGAAAAGGAAAACAGAGCATCCACAATGAAATTAATATGTATTTGGATAGAAAATTTCAAAATTTTAAGGAATTTAAAATGTGTTGAATTTGAATTGATTACTATTCAAATGGTTCCATTTTAAATATTTTGTTTGGACGAGATAATTCAAATCTATTAAATTTTAATTTTTTAAATTTGAATAAAGTATTTCAACTATCACCAATACAAAATTTTATTTTAATATTAAATAATATTTAATAATTCAAAGATATTAGTTGAGGGAGATGCTTTTTAGTTGAGGTTTGGTTGACATGATTTTAGGTTAATGTGGACTACAATTAACGGACATTAATTATGGTTATTTTTTCAATATTCTTGGTTAGGGTTTTTTTGGTTGACATTTCGACTGATGTTGACTGAAAAATTCCCTCAATGACATAAAAAGTTTGTTATAAAGATAAACCATTAGCACGAACAGGATGGAGAGAGAGAGAGAGAAACATAAGACAAGAATCAAAGAAGAAGAGAAATACAGAAAATTGGAACCCAATGGTGGGAACCAAAGTTCACGTTAAGATTGGAAGAGAACATACAATGAATTTTAGTCTATCCCAAATACAGTTTACAACAATTATTTATAAGGGTTAATAACTAAGGTCGTAACTGTTATAAGTTGGCCAAGTTATAACATTGTCCTCCCCTTAAAAATCTTACCCGCAAGGTTGGAATGATGGGTACTGTTGTTTCAAATCATGAAAAAAATTCCCAAGTAGTATCTTCAGGGAGCTTATGCTTCCATTGGACCAGTACTTTAGTTACTGGTAACTCCCTTCATTTAACAGTGATGCGATCCAGAATTTGGTCAGGTTCTTTATCAAGGGCGCTATCTTGTGTGGTAGTTGGTAGAGTAGTAGCCATCAAAGCTACATGTTTCTTTAATTGAGAAACGTGGAATACATTATGTATCTTGGAGGAACTCGGGAGCTCCAACTGGTAAGCTACTATGCCAATTTCATCCAGAATTTTGAAAGGGACATAGAACTTGGGTGAACACCTCCTTCCATTGCTTTTAGCATTTGTTGCTTGGATGTTATCTTGAGGTGTGGTGTATGTGCTCCTTTCAAGACATAGTGTGTCCCATAGACATTAAACTCCATGGTAAGATTAGAAAAGGTCCATATGATGTCACCCAAAGTAACAAGCCATTCAACTCCAAGAAACAAATCACAACATCCCAAAGGAATTAAAAACACATCAGAAACAAAGGTTGTCTATTGGAGATGCCATGAAAAATTTCTAACCATAGAGGCAACTATAACTTTGTTTCCGTCAGCCACTGTTACGATTAAAGGGTCACGTTCCTCTATAAGACATCCAAATGTCTTGGCAACTTGTATATCCAAGAAATTATGGGTACTACCACTATCCAGTAAAATATGTAAAGGATGTTTATTAACATACCCTGTAATTCTCATAGTCTGAAAATTTGCTACTCTAGTCAAAGCGCTTACAGAAATTTGTGGTTGGGGAATATCTTCTTGTTCGTCACTTTCTTGTGGATTATCTTGGAGTTCCATAACATGCAGTTGCAGTTTCTTGTGTGTAAGACCATGCTCAGGAGTATAATGTTCATCATAAAAATAACACATTCCTTTAGCACGTCGTTCATTGATGAAGGCTGGTGTTAATGCACGAATTGGTCGTAATTGTGGTTTACTATTGTCGCCAGATTTAGATGGAATAGAAGGTACTGAATTAAGAGGGGTAGGACTTAACAGACCCTTAGTTTTGTTAAAATTCCAAGAAGAATCCATCGTAGTAGATGTACTTGATGCTTCATATATCTTGGCTAATACAAAAGCCCTTTGTACCGTTGGAGGTTGAAACATGAGGACAAGCATTTGAATGTTCTTCTTTAGGCCACCCAAGAAACAACTAATGGTATAATCTTCGAACAGATTTAATTAATTGATGATGGAGTCAAATGCGTCATAATACTCATCAACTGTGGATGTTTGACGCAATTTCATTAAATAAGCCATAGGATCGATAGAGATGTTCCCAAACCTTTCACGAATCAAACAACAATAAGCTTTCCAAGAAAGATTTGAACATGGGGTATGTTTGGCGAGTGCATTGTGCCGCTCTACCTTCAAGATGAATAATAGCTACTTGCAAGTCATCTGGAGTTTTGTCAATGGAGAAAAAATTCTCACATTGAAAAATCCATTGTTCAACATTGCCACTGTTAAATCTTGGAAATTCTATACGAGAGAAGCGGTTGTTTATTGAAGATGGGGTTGTGCACGGCGGCGGACAACCATTAGAAGAATGAGTATCTACAGAAGTTGAATGCAGAACAAATTGCTGAACTATTTCTTGGATAGTATCTTTCAAAGATTCTGAGAGTGCTCTTTGAAGATTCCCAACCAAATCTGCCAACCTGCCTTCCAATCGTGCAACAAGACATTCTTCCATATCTTTAAGTAATGTTGCATTACGAGTAGATTTTGCCATGGATCGCCTAATTTGATACCAATTGTTATGAAGATAAACCAATAGCACGGACGGGATGCCGAGAGAGAGAGAGAAACGTAAGACAGGAAACAAGTGGAACCCAATGGTGGGAACCAAAATTCACGTTAAGATTGGAAGATTAGAAGAGAACATACAATGAAATCTAGTCTATCCCAAATACAGTTTACAACAATTATTTATAAGAGTTGATAACTAAGGCCGTAACTATTATAAGTTGGCCAAGTTATAACAAAGTTTCAGTTAAGATTGACCAAAAGTTTTCCCATTTGACATAAGAAAAAAAAATTCTAACCATCTTAGGACAAAAAAAGAATACCAGTCATGTTGATAAAAAAAATCCCTACAACATCGGTAACAAAATAACCATGTGAGACATCATCCAAAAAAAATCTAGCAAACATCTGTTGAAAAATAATCTTACAAATGTTGGCCGAGAAAATATAACCTTGGCCCACTTCGGTACAAAAATAATTCTAATAATGTCAACCAACCTATTAACTTGATTGAAAAACCCTTTACATCGGTCAAAAATTAGTCTAATGGTTGATACCCTGACTAACATTGACCAAAAAATAATCATTCTAATGTTGGCTAAAAAAATCCTAACTAAAGTAGATTGAGAAATAACCTCGACCTACATAGGTAAAAATTAATTTTGGTGGTCCGAAAAACAATCCCATCTAACATCAAATGAATATAATTTCAGTTTACATAAACCTAAAAATGTTGTATTTGACATCAGTCAGAAAACACCATTGATGTCAACAAAGTTCTAATTAACATTGGTTGAGAAATAACACTAGTCTACATCCGCAAAAATATTTTGGCAAGTTTGGTTGAAAAATAACTACAATCAACTACTACTTGAAAGAAATTCGCCAACATCAGTCAAAAAAATGATTACACTATAAAATTGTCCGTCCAAACACACTATATAAGTTCCAGTGCTTGTCTACCTATAGTTATTAGCAGAATGAAAAAGATTTGTCATTCCAAAATACATAGTTCATTTGGTTTAGAAGTCAAAACACAACATAGAAAGCTTGAACAGTTAAGCAGTATGGTAATATCACAATTGAATCAAGATGAATAATCCTGTTTTTAAAAGAAAGAAAAAGAATAATGGTAGGGGTTGAAAATTTACATAGCTGATGAACTTGATACACATACAATGAAAAATATGAAGTGCAACAGGTTGGGGAACTTACGGTAAGAACATAGTTGGCATTTGGTGGAAGGTTAATTAGGTTAGAAACACCATCCAGGTCAAGTAGAACATATTCATCTTGATCTTCTTGTTCATGTGAAGCTGCATTTGCCTCCATATTCCTATCCTGTGCATAAATTGCAAGTAAAAACTAACACCCAGTAGCCAATCTGAAATGAAAGGAAAATAATAGTTTATGCCCAGTATTTGTTTTTTTTTTTCAAATAACAATAAAAATAATTCCACGATGAAGGGTATTTAACGACCATCAAAATAAAAAAAAGTTGTTTCATAGTCAAAACAACATAAAATTCTTCCAGAAGGTTCAAATTACAGAAACAAGAGTTGAGATTTGATTTTGAAGCAACCATCTGAGAAGGTTATCATTTTGCACTTGGAATTTTCAGTTAACATAGACAAAGGTAATGCTGGATATTTTAAAAAAGGTAAATCAAGTTCAGAAGCGGAAATCACACAAAGAGCATAAATAAATGTGAAACAAATTGAACTGAAGTCTAGAGATGATGAAAAGTGGATGCAGGTAATAATGCTAAATACAGTTTGGAAAAATTGAAATTTAGAACCCTAACATCAAATAACAATTGTTGAAGAGGCAAACAACAAAAACTAAACCTTGACACAACAGCATAGTTTCAACATTGCTGCCTTTTGTATCAAAGAGGGTGCCAGACTAATGAAGGTATAGTTTTTGACAATTTTTTTTTTGACAATTAGTTCACTATTAAACGATCATAATAATGATATTTTTTTGGTTAACACTATTGGTATCACCACACGAAGCAATCCTGCTGGTGTCTTGTAGAACAACTGTGGGCGAACTCTCTAAATATCCAACGGAATTACAAACTCATGGCTCAAACTCAAAACTGAAGAAACCCCATGACAGTTGACATCTATAATAATTGGTAAACGACTATAACAATGATAATGAAAACATCATACAAAATTATTCAAAAAAAATCTCTCTAAAGAGAATAACTCATAATCTATTTTAACATTTTGAGTAAATAAAATGCAAAAAACTAACTAAGGTGGTTGGTTTACTCATGATAAAAGTATGAAAGAGGAAACAAAGAATGCACCTGGAATGAGACAAATGAGAAAACACAGAAGAAACGGTTTTGTATTGGGTTGTATAGAGTGGTGCAAGGCGGTAGTCAAGGAGACAGAAAGTGGCTGTGGCACAATGTAGCAACGAAATGTTGAGAGGTGTTAGGTATTGGGAGGATTTCTCAACCACCCCACATATGGCTCACAGGAAACAGGGCAGGGTCAGGCTAGCCTGCATAACAATCACAGACTAGTAATTTTGGCCAGCCCCATAATTGGAAAAACAATTCAAGGGCCAAGATTCCAACTTCCAACAGTAAGCATAGCGATAGCAATGAGAAACATATTAAAATTTAAATGCTTCAGTAATAATCATAAGAACATCAACAATAAAATTTAAATGTTGCACCCAAAAAGCCTGGACATTGAAAATAAAATTTAAATGAACTAAATAAGCATGAGATGAACATTTACACTAAATAAACATGTCAAACTAAAATCTTTCACTAACAAGGAGCCACCAAAAATATGGTAGTCTAAGCTGTTGAAAAAGAAAGACTATTAAATAAGCATCATCTTGTCCAGACTCCAGATTTTTTTCAACATTATCTTCCTCAATTTCTTCCTCACAAAGGGGAATATTCACCTTTCCTTGTCCGTTTCAATTTCCAATTTCAAACTGTAATTTTATGTTTCAGTTTCAACATTAAATGCAACTACTTTGGTTTTGCAAATACCTTGAAAAGATACATTTCATATGATATCTTGAGTTAAGAGGATTAGAAACAGATGAAGTTTTTGTAAATACAGTCAATCTATCAAAATATTCACTTAGACTTCAACTGGTAAGATAATTATTTATATTTTGATGCAATATTCCTATAATCGTGTGTTTCTTCAATAAACTAATTATACACTTAGAAGCTATCATCAAATAGTAATTCAATTTCATGATCCAAATCAGTGAACATGTTGAATTAATTGAAGTTAGAGCAATAAAATTTGAGTACATTAGAGAAACAAAATTACAAAGACGCATGGATAAGTAACAGGTCACAACCCATATATACCGGAACATGTTCAAACACCATTTCAGGGAGGAACATGCCTCTTATTAGTCCCGTATTACCGATTGAAATATATTATGGCTTACACACAAAATAGAGGAACCATTGAACAACAAATTTTCTGTTTAGCAAAAAATATCAAAACCCTGAGACCACAAATTACAGTACAAGATTCTCGTGACTGAACTATAGAAAAACCCGAGACATTAGGTAAGGGTTTATGAAAGAATTGAATACCTGTGTTATTACGTGCTTTCGCCGCCGCACCTAGAGCGTCGTCGTCGCATATGTGATGGTCGGCAAATTTTAAAAGGGCGACAACAGGAATGAACTTATTTGGTAGGATTAAATAAGTTGTTCAACATTTTTTTTTCCAATGTTTTCTTCCCGCTTTTATTTTGTTATTGGGTAACAATTTCATACCAGTTATTTATGGATCTTTTATTTTTCGGACGAATAGTGAATCTTAATATTGGAAATTGGACCATATGCATTGCTACCCACTGATTTTTTTCAACATTATCTTCCTCAATTTCTTCCTCACAAAGGGGAATATTCACATTTCCTTGTCCATTTCAATTTCCAATTTCAAACTGTAATTTTGTGTTCCAGTTTCAACATTAAATGCAACTACTTTGGTTTTGCAAATACCTTGAAAAGATACATTTCATATGATATCTTGAGTTAAGAGGATTAGGAACAAATCAAGTTTTTGTGAATACAATCAATCTACCAAAATATTCACTTAGACTTCAATTAGTAAGATAATTATTTATATTTTGATGCAATATTCCTATAATCCTGTGCTTCTTCAATCAACTAATTATACACTTAGAAGCTATCCTCAAATAGTAATTCAGTTTCATGATCCAAATCAGTGAACATGTTGAATGAATTGAAGTTAAAGCAATAAAATTTGAGCACATTAGAGAAACAAAATTACAAAGACGCATGAATAAGTAACAGGTCACAACCGATATATACCGGAACATGTTCAAACACCATTTCAGGGAGGAACATGCCTCTTATTAGTCTCGTATTATCGATTGAAATATATTATGGCTTACATACAAAATAGAGGAACCATGGAACAACAGATATTTTGTTTAGGAAAAAATATCAAAACCCTGAGACCACAAATTATAGTACAAGATTCTCGTGACTACACCTATAAAAAAACCCGAGACATTAGGTAAGGGTTTATGAAACAATTGAATACTTGTGTTATTATGTGCTTTCACCGCCGCACCTAGAGGGTTGTCGTCGCGTATGTGATGGTCGTTAAATTTTAAAAGAGCGACAACAGCAACGAACTTACTTGGTAGGATTAAATGAGTTGTTCAACATTTTTTTTCCAATGTTTTCTTCCCGCTTTTGTTTTGTTATTGGGTTACAATTTCAGGCTCAGTTATTTATGGATCTTTTATTTTTCCGACGAATAGTGAGTCTTAATGTTGGAAATGGGGCCTTATGCATTGCTCCCCACAAATTTTTTTTCAACATTATCTTCCTCAATTTCTTCCTCACAAAGGGGAATATTCACATTTCCTTGTCCATTTCAATTTCCAATTTCAAACTGTAATTTTGTGTTCCAGTTTCAACATTAAATGAAACTACTTTGGTTTTGCAAATACCTTGAAAAGATACATTTCATATGATATCTTGAGTTAAGAGGATTAGGAACAGATCAAGTTTTTTTGTGAATACAATCAATCTATTAAAATATTCACTTATACTTCAACTGGTAAGATAATTATTTATATTTTGATGCAATATTCCTATAATCATGTGCTTTTTCAATAAACTAATTATACACTTAGAAGCTATCATCAAATAGTAATTCAGTTTCATGATCAAAATAGTGAACATGTTGAATTAATTGAAGTTAAAGCAATAAAATTTGAGCACATTAGAGAAACAAAATTACAAAGACGCATGGATAAGTAACAGGTCACAACCATATATACCGGAACATGTTCAAACACCATTTCAGGGAGGAACATACCTCTTATTAGTCCCGTACTACCGATTGAAATATATTATGGCTTACACACAAAATAGAGGAACCATTGAACAACAAATTTTTTGTTTAGTAAAAAATATCAAAACCCTGAGACCACAAATTACAGTACAAGATTTTCGTGACTACACCTACAGAAAAACCTGAGACATTAGGTAAGGGTTTATGAAAGAATTGAATACCTGTGTTATTATGTGCTTTCGCCGCCGCACCTAGAGGGTCGCCGTCGCGTATGTGATGGTCTTTAAATTTTAAAAGGGCGACAACAGGAACGAACTTACTTGGTAGGATTAAATGAGGTTTTCAACATTTTTTTTTTCAATGTTTTCTTCCCACTTGTGTTTTGTTATTGGGTTATAATTTCAGGCCCAGTTATTTATGGATCTTCTATTTTTCCGACGAATAGTGAGTCTTAATGTTAGAAATTGGACCATATGCATGTACAGAATTTTTTTCAACATTATCTTCCTCAATTTCTTCCTTCCTCACAAATGGGAATATTCACATTTCCTTGTCCATTTCAATTTCCAATTTCAATCTGTAATTTTGTGTTCCAGTTTCAACATTAAATGCAACTACTTTGGTTTTGCAAATACCTTGAAAAGATACATTTCATATGATATCTTGAGTTAAGAGGATTAGGAACAGATCAAGTTTTTGTGAATACAATTAATCTACCAAAATATTCACTTAGACTTCAACTGGTAAGATAATTATTTATATTTTGATGCAATATTCCTATAATCCTGTGCTTCTTCAATCAACTAATTATACGCTTAGAAGCTATCATCAAATAGTAATTCAGTTTCATGATCCAAATTAGTGAACATGTTGAATTAATTGAAGTTAGAGCAATAAAATTTGAGCACATTAGGGAAACAAAATTACAAAGACGCATGGATAAGTAACATGTCACAACCCATATATACCGGAACATGTTTAAACACCATTTCAAGGAGGAACATGCCTCTTATTAGTCTCGTATTACCCATTGAAATATATTATGGCTTACACACAAAATAGAGGAACCATTGAATTACAGATTTTTTGTTTAGTAAAAAATATCAAAACCCTGAGACCACAAATTACAGTACAAGATTCTCGTGACTACACCTATAGAAAAACCCGAGACATTAGGTAAGGGTTTATGAAAGAATTGAATACCTGTGTTATTATGTGTTTTCGCCGCCGCACCTAAAGGGTCACGTCGTATATGTGATGGTCGTTAAATTTTAAAAGGGCGACAACAGGAACGAACTTATTTTGTAGGATTAATTGAGTTGTTCAACATTTTTTTTCAATGTTTTCTTCCCACTTTTGTTTTGTTATTGAGTTACAATTTCAGGCCAGTTATTTATGGATCTTTTATTTTTTTCAATAAATAATGAGTCTTAATGTTGAAAATTGGGCCATATGCATTGCTCCCCACCGAATCGCACACGGCCAAGCCCAATATGAACAATGCAGCCACCAGAACTTGGCTGAAAAATATACTTTGTTGATTTAATATTTTCAGAATTATAAAATTATACAACATATCATATTAATCAAATAACATAAAAAATAAAATAAATCCAAAATAGCTTTTAGAATCCGAATTAGAGAAGATGTAAAATTCGAACAATCAATCCAAATTAACTCAAACACAGGTCAATGATACGTGGGGGAGAGCATCACATGTGTCCCTCCTTGGAAACAATTTTTCACTGTCAGATATAATAATTTTTAGGGTTATTTGTAAGTTTAGTTCTTGTATTTTTACAAAGTTTGTAATTTTGATGTTTTTTTGTCAGAATTTTTATTATTTATCTTTTAATCATCGATAACTTTTGTTTCTTAATTATTAATTATATATAACTTTGTTCAATTTTAAATTCAATAATCCATAATAAGGGGAGAGGAAAACGTATAATACTGTCATGAGAGAACGAACATCTTCATGACACATTTGAATTCAAACTCGAAGAGGACTTTAATCTGTGAACATGTGTGGCAGTTAGGAGGAACTGCATGCTCCGAACCCTTTTGGGAATTGAGATCTGTTGATTCCATCTTCTAATCCAAGACAAATTTGGACATGAAAAGAAAACAACAAAGTTGGTTTTGCAACATTATTGTTGTCACCTGTGTCAGCCATTTAAACTATACTGTTAATGGATCACGTGGCTCAGCACATTATGCAGATAAAATATGATCATATGAGAACAAAAGTAATGTCTGCTGCAATATTAAATCTCATAATTCTGCAGCTCTTTGGCAAAGTTGGGATAATATTTTCTTTAGAAGAATCTTTTTCTGTATCAAATAGTCAACTAGAGAGGTTGAATTATGGTACAGATAAACGAACACCGCAAGGAGTTCAATAGGATGGTAGATAAAATCTTAGTTTTTTTTTATATAACACAAATAAAATACTTACAAAAATAATATTTTGAATGCATCCAATTAAAATAAATATATCCTCATGGAAATGTTAATATATTAAGTGATTTCTTGAGACGCCTGAAAATCCAACACATACTAATGGTTTAAAAAATCGTAGTTACCTTCAAGTGTTACAAATTGTAGTCACTAGTGGCGGGTTTTGTATAAAAATATGAGCTATTATAATATTACATTTCAGTGGTTTTAAACCTCCACTAATTTCCAATGGTTACTAAGAACCCCAACCTTTCCACAGTTTTAAAACCTCCACTACCTCTCTAAGGTTTATAACCACAGTTATTTTACTTGAGATTTAAAATCCCATTAATCTTATTTTTTTCTAATACTCATATTTATTTCTAATAAAAATAATAATAAAATATTAAAGAAATAAAAATAATATCTAAAAGTCTTATCTATTAGAACCAATAAAATCATTAAAAAAATACTAAAATACTATAAAAACAAATAAAAGATTAATATTTTTCGATTAAATATAATAATTAAAATCAACATTTATAAAAGAACAAAGGCCAATGTTGTATTTTATAATAAAATTACATAACAAAAATAAATAAACATATTTATTTTTAAAGTTCTTCACTTAATCATTTATTTCTTTTTCGTTATGAATACTTCCTTGATCATATTCTTAAAATATGAAAGAAAATTATTATTAGAAATAATAAATAAATAAAAAGAAAATAATTAAAATTATTAAGAATATTGATGCATAAAATACATTAAAGTTATAGTTTTGTATAAAAAATTGTCATCATTACCTTATGTTTGTTGACTTGTAATGTCAACGTAGTAACCTTTTTCAGAATAATAAAATTAATAAACCTAGTAATTTATATTTAATTAAAGCTAAATACAGTTTATTTATTAATAATAATAATATATTAACATAAATAAATAAATAAAACCAAAATAACCTTTTTAACTATAGAAAAAACACAATAAATTTAAAATATACTTTAATCACTTCTTACAACATTTCAATCTTTCTTGGATGTCCCAATCCAGCAAACAAAAGATATATATATTGTTAATATAAACCAATAATTAATATTATATATACATGTTTTGTAGCATCATATACCTAAATTTATAATTCAAACTCTTTAAGATTCATCACAGGTATATTATCTCCATTATCCTAAATGGATAAATAAATAAAAACATATATACATAAGTACTTAGTGTACTTAAAATTATA